GGTGGTAGCACAATGCACGCATACCCCCGCGGAAACGGCCCGAGTGAAAAGCGCAACGACAGGAGTGAAATGGAATGCCTTTTGAGTCGTGTCCGCTGGTCGTTCCCCAGCAGGCGCAACACGGGCACAGGATGAGGGAAACGGTCGAAGGGCCAAAGGGAAACGCCCGCGAGGAAAGGTCAAGGGATTGTCGTGCGAGCAGTGAAGGGTCCACACTTCTTATGGTTACGACAGCCCTGTCCGGTGGTCGCGCTTCTTAGTGGCCACTACAACCAGTGGTGCGAGCTGTGTGTAGCGGTTCCGCGGCACGAGCAAGACAGAACCCGGGCTTTGTTCGCGCGATGAGATGATGCGCCAGTGGGTCGAATCGAGATCGCACCATGCACCGAGGAAGCCTTCCGATTCTGTGTACAGACATTGTACACCGGCATGAAATTTGTGAACGAACATTCGCATTTTCGAGAATTTAAGTTTTGAAACTGAAACTTGAAATCAAGTTTAATTTCATTGTTGAACTACAATGTTCGCAAAAGTTGTGCATGACTTTGACATTTTGTAAACCTTTACGTCGTCCTTCTACTTTGCATTACAGTTAGACCTGGACATGGACCTATCAGCTCTCTACAAATGTTTCCCTCTCGTCGGTTTGAGTGTTCCAATCCATTCCTCCAATAGTTGGCCATTCTCACAAGTCTTTCAAAATTGACCTCTCTAACTGTGATTCTGTAAGGACCTCGTCCTTTGGACCGTGACAAAAATCAACGGTGCAATGGACGCGCGGCACGGAGAAGAAGCGAGTGCTCAGGCTGTATTCTCATGAGGCTCGCTCTGTAAATATTTGGCATATAGAGATACATATAGCCTCTTTCATCCCTATCGGACTGGTTATCTCCAAAAATTTGGCCTTTTTGGCTATATCTATCTCTATATTGGAAGCCGGATGGCGACAAATTTACTCATTTGACCATATAGAGACGCGAATTACATGGCGCCACTTGGCCAAAAGACCATAGAACAGTGTCAATACAGTACTCTCGTACTCGATGCCCCGCACCCCTCGTACACTATGCCCTATCAGGGCACTTCAATTTCAAATTTACTCCTAAACCGATAGTGTTGCGCACAGAAATGCTATATGCAAACGCAAAATTTTACACATTTAGCCACCAAATTTAGCCAAACCGATAGGGGTGCTCTAAGGTTGTCCGTAAAGTCACGAAAACACGTGTTTTGGCGGCAAGTTTGCTCGAATTTTCTTAACGCAAAAATTTCAAACAACGCGTTCGGCGAAACTCACAGCATGCCGAAAACTCGGGGCATGTGAGTTTCCACGAGTTTCACATCCGCCTGATCACAGCAGTGCCGGATCGACCCGTCTTGAAGGAAAACGAAGTGGGTCTTCCGTTCTTTCATCAGCACAAACGAGTCTCAGACTGCACGGGTCGTATCGATATGCGTCATGGACGCCCCTATCGCTTCATCTGCGCAGAGTCCATGAATGGATCAAAGCGCAACAGGATCTGCCACAGATGCCGCCGAAGCAACCGCGAAAGATAGACAAGTAGAAGCTTCTTAAAAACGGACCTCTCCAAACGGCCCCCCTCAACCTGTCAAGAAGACGAAACACATCGCCCTTTCGACTGAGAACCTTTCTATCCTTGTGGCGAACTACAATATTCGCTTCAGCAAGTATTCGCGCAGGTGCACGTGATCCGTCGGGCGGCACAACGACGTACCAGACTTGCGTATGTTGCGGGCAGGTACCTTACTGGAGGTAAGTCTGCAAAACTCGTGGTGGAATTTTTCAATCTCGGGTTCACTTAAAGTCCAGCGAGTTTGTGGGCAAATGGAAAAAAACAACACGTGATTTTACGGACAACCTTACTATTTCTTTACCTGGTGGACGAAGGGAGCCCAAATACTCATTCTTGACTATACTAAGTCATGAAGGCAATTCTCATCCAAAAAGCACCAACGCGTCCAAGCGCACGGTTTCAACCGTCACCAGTTCATGCACTCGGGCCGCTGGCTTCTAGCGTACCAGATATTAATCGTGGGACACATTGTGGACTCCATACCGCATTCTTTGTAATTTTGTTCCATTTTGTGACGATGCCTGTCCTATCTTTCTCAGCGAATCAGGCGTGTTGTACAACGTTGTGCAACGTATCCAGGCTTGTTTCGATGAAGAGAAGTAATGGAAGTTTCACCTGGTACGGTAGGGGGTTTCTCTGCCAGACCTCCTCTTACGCTATTTTCCTTTCATTGTATTTTAGGCATTAAATTTCGGTTCTATGGTGTCGCCACATTCGTTGAAGCGGTCCGCCCCAGCGACATTTGTAGAATTCAAATATGTGCACAAGCACCAACTACCTTATTCCTAGATATCTTCTCTCGTCTTCTTTGGGGGAAGAGGGTCGTATGAGAACTCCATTAATGAGCATCGACAAAATTACATCATTCAATTGTCCTTGGCGGGTGCCAGGCAATGAAATGGTACAAAACCAATCATCAGAATTGTATTTCAGGGGGTTTCGTCGTTAAGGACAATATGAATTCTGTATTTTGCTTTCCTTCAAGTAGCAGTTGTACTTTTGCAATCTTCGGAGAATCGTTGTTTCCACCGAGAAGTAATATCTAGTGCCTGTATATATGGACGGTTGTTTCACCGACTTTCAGTCACGAAGCATTTCATAAAACCGGTCCGACTAAAAGACTGCGCCATGCCATGCCAACAAATCATCAGTAATGATGTAATACCATACAGGCAAGAATTATCGTTACATACTGGAAGGGCTGCGGTTGTTTCACTCTCAGCAACTGCCAGTGCTCTCCCGCGGCTGATTCAGCCCCATTTCCGAAGGTATGTCGTGTAGACATAGACAGAAGGTATGAAGCGACATATGTACATAATCTGCACCAGCCCTTCTTGCAACACGACTGGATTCGCTGCTTGTTGGTTCCCACAACGTCACAAAAACGCCTTGGTATGAATTTTGGTGACCAGTCTTTCGATTTTTCATCGCTTGACTTATGCGATCCTATGCTTGGCAACGAGTTCCTACTTCAGGACGCAGATGCTAATATTGCATTACACGGGCTACATGATTTGCTAGACCTAGACAGACCGAATCAGGTTTTCGCTGAGCATACTGAAGGAAAGCATACTGTTGAGTATGACTTACATACACACACTGAAGCATGTAAGGAAGGGTGCAACACGTCAGTTAAGTCTTCGCACGCACATTCCAGGACTTCCTCTGAGTTGGGAAGTAGCGAGGATATCCAAAGTAGAAAAAGTGATAGAGGTGCACCAACACACACGATACTCGAAGATGTCAAGTTCAGCGTCCCGCCGCGAGATTTTGTCGACGAAAGCCGCCTTTCCAGAAACAACACGATTACTTCCGTGCAAACGTCGAGTCGACTCCCAATGGATCAGACAGGGAATAATTCTCCGCCACCCTCAAACTTAATACCGCTCCCTACGACAAAAGTTTCACCGGCGTCTTTTACTTTGAGTTTAAAAGAATTCCAACGCCACGGCCAATCCTACAAGGAGCACGGAGGTATGCATATGACGAACCCAAAGCCGACAGAAGCAATGCCGTTGTCGACAATCTTGTCACCCGACAATCACGTTCAAACTCCCATTATTCCCCCCAATCTTGGCTCTCAGCACTTAATGTATGTCCAACCGTCAGAAATACTCTCTTCTCCAAAGAGTCAAATCACTGAAAGCACACCATGTGCCGTTAATTGGAATACGGCGACAGCACCATTCCATCTAATCCGCCGAGAAAGTGGTCTGAGCACGTTTAGCGGGTCGTTCAACACAAGCCAAGGCCATGAAGGCAGTTCACGCCCTGAAGGTGCGATACAACCTAAGTTGCGATATTCGGAGGGAGCATCTGCGTCTCACTACTGCCACATCTGTGGGCGGGCTTCGAACACAGCACAGCTTGCAGCTTGCGCTAATGTACGAATAGGCCTTTGTCGAAAAACCTTGTGCGAGAAATGCCTGTTGGTGCATCAAAGAGAATTGTTCGAGTGGGCGAAAGAAAAAGATACGTCATGGACATGTACGCATTGCAGAGGAGTCTGTCCAAAGAGAGCTCGTTGCCATCAATACCAACGAAACAACATGAGAAGGAGGTTAAAGAATGGAGTTGAGGGAACCAAGGAAAAGAAGAGTACTGGAAAAAGGGAAAACTGGACTGTAGAGGGAAAAGTGGACAGCAACAAGGTGCGACTTGGAGTAGAAGGTGTTCTGTTAAAGAAGAACTCATCTCGGTCACGGCAAACGAAGTTTGTTCATCCAGAGGCGACGAAAGCGGAGGGAAGCGACGAAATTTCGCCCACCGGTATTTCCAGCGGCGCCTTTGGATCACACTAAAGCACTGCCAGAAACAAGCTTTGCGAAGAATGTTTGAAAAACAAACAAGCGCATGATACGATCTAATCCTCGGAGCTACACCTTTACATGTAAGACGACCCTCCGAATGCATAGGAAGTTTAATTTATAGCAATTAGTAGAAAATAGGACATCAAGGGATTCTGCAATAACATCCCATTCCAACTTGCAGGATGCGACGGAGCCATCACGGTACGTTAACAGAGACTGATACAGAGCGTCATCATAATCATTTCTTAAATAGGATGTTTCCGTCTGGCGTACTATCGGCCAGATAGCTCCCGCTATCAAGCAGGAGGGGAGATTTGGGGACCAAATTGATGCAGTATCTGTCTAGACTCGGGGTCAGGAAAAAAAAAGCTCGTAAAGCGGAGGATGCCGACCTTCAGAGCTCGATGTTAATTAAGAATTACAAGCCTTCTTCAGATAAATTTTGTATAATTCACCGAATTTAGGCGTACAAGGTCAGTGGGTCACTTTGCTAGCTCATCGCTCCAACCCGTTCTCACGTCCGCTTTCAATCGTCGGCCGGCGTCTCCTCTTCGTCATTCGCAGTCCTCTTCCTGAGCCTCGGTTCAAATATCCCATGCCCTTACCCCGCATCCCAGGACACCCGCCGGCCTCGCTTTCCTTTGCACTTCCCATCCTTTTCCGTAGCCGCGTCACACACCCATCCCTGTGCCCACGGTGTGCCACCCCAACCCCGTCTTGCTCCACTTCCCGTCCCATCATACCCCTTCTCTCCACCCCTTCTCCCTCAGGAAATGTCGAGTCTCCTCCCCAGTCTGCCCCACTGGGCCCGGCCACATCGCTCTTCATCATTGACGCATTTGGCCTTATCTATCGAGCGTATTACGCTTTGTCCGCCACCACCATGTCCTCCTTTCATATGTTCGATACTCGTGCGGTCTATGGCTTCACCATGGTCTTGGCTAAGTTTCTCCATCGACACGCTCCGACAAGCCCCGTCGTAGTCGTCTTCGAGGGACAGAGATTGCATGAGCAGAAAGACTTCCGCACTGCGTTGTATCCAGACTACAAGGCTCATCGCGGAAAGACCCCCACCGCAATTATTCATGCTGTTCCCTGGGTTAAAGCTATCTGCAAAGCCTTGGGACTCACTATTCTCGAGATTGATTCCTTCGAAGCAGACGATGCTATTGGATCACTTACTCGCCAGGCAAGCTCCAATCGTATCAAATCGATTATTGTATCGAACGACAAGGATTTTCGGCAGTTGTTGGATCGCGATCTGGTATCTATTTTGCGCTTTGGCGCTCGGGATTCATACGAGTACATCACGGAGCAGTCGTTTCGCGATGATTTCTCTGATCTTCATCCACGACAGTACGTTGATGTACTCACTCTTATCGGGGACAAGGCCGACGGGCTCAAAGGTGTTTCGGGGATAGGTGTTCGCACTGCTCCAAAACTAATTGCTCATTATGGCTCCCTTGAGGCCTTGTTGGATGCTGTACGTGAGTATTTTCGCCTTTGTGAAGAAGACACAAGCGGAAAGAAGGCTCCGAAGGCTGGCCTAGTGTTTCCCGAGCTACCCTTCATCACTCTGAGGTTTGCGAAAGCGCTGAAGGAGAGCGAGCAGCATGCTCTTCTGGTCAAAAGACTTATCACTATCAGAGAGGATCTACATCTGTCGGAGTTGGAAGGTATGAACTTTCACAGAAAGCCTATCGACAAAAGGGAGACTTTGCTGCTCATGAGAAAGCTGGAATTCACGAACAAAGGTCTGATAAACCGTTTACTTGATTCAGCAAACGGCATTTCAGAAGTCCAATTAGAGTCGCATGTAGCCGCTCCACCAGGAGCCGTTCATCGAAGTACACAACTACCTTCTGGAGCAATTAAGGAAGAAGCTGACGCCGAGCGGGTGATTTCGTCTTCATCTCACAATCGGCCTATATCCTCGCTCGAGAGTAAACCCCCTTTCATGACTGATATTATTGTGCTTCCGACGGCCCAGCAGATCGAAATGTTCGTCAGTGAGGTCTCTGATAGGGTCGCCATTGTCCCCATTCTCTCGCGAAGCAAAAAGGAACGGGAACTTATCGGTTGCGCGGTGGGTGCGAATCCTGGAGAAGCATACGTTTTCCACATTACCCCTGATCATCCACTCCCTGATAGTCTGATGGCGATTTTAACGAACCCTCATGTCGAAAAGCATGGTTGGTTTCTGAAGGACCTTTACAAAGGTATCATTCAGGAGTATCACGTAAAGATTCAAGGAAAGCTTTTCGACATGCGTATCGCTGCAGAGTTGCTCCATGCTGGAGAAAAGGTAACCGATTCCAAACTGGCAAGCCTGTACATGAGAGATGGCATCTTCGACAGCCTGATACCCGATACTCATCACAGAATCACGACTCCTCATAGCGATAGTGGAGCGGCTTTATTGTGTGGTACAGCGTTGCAGTTTTCTGCGAAGTTGGAAAAAACATTGTGTGCCACCAATTTGGATACGATTTTACACTGCGCTGAGCTTCCTCTAATTCCAGTTCTCGGTGACATGGAAATTACTGGAGTACCTGTTGATGTCGCTTCTCTATTGGAGTATGAGAAATTCGTTCGCAGCCGAGTCGAAGAAATTGAGAGCGCAGTCCAAGAACTTGTTCTTCCTTTCTTGGGTTCTGCGAAAATTTTCCGTGCCTCATCGAGGGATGATGTGGCCTGTCTCTTGTTCGAGACATGGAAGATAAATACGAAGATGTCTCGGACAAAAGCAGGCAAGTACTCTGTCAGTAAACAAGTTCTTTCCGCAATTGCCAAAGATGGTCGGCTCGAGGAGCACATGCGCAACTTTGCCAGTTTGATGCTGGAGCACAGAGAGGCCTCTAAAATTCTGAATACTTATACTGCCTCGTTAATATCAGCCGTCCTTCCTGACGGACGCATTCGGTGTACATTTAACCAAGAAGCAGCCTCTACTGGTCGTTTGTCGACCGCGAAGCCTAACTTGCAATCTCTGCCTATTCGCTCTGCGCTTGGTCGAAAGATTCGAGGTATGGTGAAGGCACCCGAGGGATTTTCAATCTTATGCGCGGATTACAGTCAAATCGAAATGCGGATCATGGCTTCCTTGTGCAGTGACAAGAACCTGTGCTGCGTTCTGTCCAGTGGAGAAGACATTCACAGATATGTTGCATCTACCGTGTTCAATGTCAGTGAAGAAGAAGTTACTGAGGTGCAGAGAAAGAAGGCAAAGGAAGTAAACTACGGGATATGGTACGGAATATCGGCCTATGGCCTCGGGCAGCAACTCCAAATACCTACCCGTGACGCACAGGAACTGATATCTCAATTTCATATCGAGTTTCCTTTGGTCAAGGACCTGACACAGGAGCTGGTCGAGAAAGCTAAAAGAGACGGATATGCGGAGACAATCCTTGGACGCCGATTATCATTACCCCTGCTCATTCATGGAGGACCTCAGGAAAGAAAGGCTGCTGCAAGGGTAGCTGTAAATATGCCTATTCAGGGCACGCAGGCAGACATGATGAAAGTTGCCATGGTGCGCATCGCGGAACGTCTTCAAAGTGGAAACGCTGCGTCGAAACTAATTCTGCAAATACATGATGAACTGGTAGTGCAGGTCGAGAACTCAGAGCTTGACGACGTCGTCAAAGTAGTAGAGGAAGAGATGATCATGGCATTGCCTTTGAATGGCATGGAGGTTGTTGTGAATACTGGGGTGGGACCTTCCTGGCTACATGCTGCTGCCCGGTGACGAAGGCAAGATTAAAGAGCTTTACTTTTCTTGCAACGACGTCCTTGGGGGTGAAGGAGTGAAAGGAGGGGGAGCACCGCGCAGTGCTGTACACAAAGCAAAAACGTGTCATCAGAGGGTCAATTGGCCGACTTGTGCCATCCCTGGTTGCGGATGCGCTGTCGCACTGTATCATGGGAGTGTCTGTGTGGCCTTCGCGAAATGCTGTACGCGCAGTTGTAGACTCCTACAGTGCCGTGTGCTCCACCAGCCAAATCACGGCAATCATCCATTGAATATGTATACCTCATCTTCTCTGCAGATCATACCAACTGCGGTCAGCGAGGAAGGGACCGTTTCCGCACAGTTGTGTATGCACTCATATACGTAACTTAATTGCCAGCATTTGTGCCGGATGGGTTGGGGTACCCCATGCCCTGTCACCCACAGGCATACAGGTTCTGCAGTCCCTGCTGCTGCGCATGACATAAAGAAGCGGAAGACAATGAGGTGGGGACCCGTTCTCTATTGGAGAGATGACCAGCTGATGCCGTCTCCATCTTCTCGATATGCATAGTATGTCAGTGGTATTGTTGCGAAAAGGTTCCGACGAATGTTGAGAGTATTATGGCTTTTCTGCATGTAGACAATCAATACGTCCATGCATGTTTCACTCTGAACCTACTCCTGCAGTTGTCGTCGACTTGCGAGACATGAGCGGCACTCAATGAGGATTGGAGAGGGATGGCGCGTTCAGTAACGTAATTTCCACTTGCATTAAACGCCGGGCGCTATGTTATACTACGTTCGGTGCCTGTTCCCTTTAGGTCTTCTCTTGGAAGCATGCTGCCATTTAGAATCCCTTGATTGCGCCTGGAATACGGCAAAAGAAGCCTTTGACGAGAAGGCCAATCGGCACGGACAAGTCCAGACTGGGCAAAGCGGTCGTCTCCATTGCTGGGGTTTCGTGCAACATTAGCGACAGAAGTATCTTAGAGAAGTAATCTTCAACAATAACCTTTACCGCGCTTCTCCGCTCGCAATTGTATCGCTCTCGAACAGCGTGTAGCTTGCCCATATCAGTGGTCGCCGATACCGCCGATAGCAGACATAAGAACTCACAGCTCTTGCTCGTCAGTTAGCTCCAAGTTGCAATTTCATTTGAAAGAAACGCAACGCGCGTGTATCTGTTAAACGACTACTCGCTCTTTTTAGTTTTGACCAGGTTTCCAACACTCCTCGATAAATCGCCTTCAAAACTACACTACGTCTCCCTACCATGACGAACAACGGTATCCCTTAACATTTTGTTACTCACAACTCAGGAACAAGCGGGTAAGCATGCTGTACAACTCCCAATAGACTTTGGCCCGGGTACTCAACTTGAGTACGTGTATAATCACAAGGTGGGATAAAGATAAACCGTAGTTGGCCTTCTAGGGCTAAGCCCGCTCGGGTTCGCTTGTTCAAGTAATCAATGAAATCATCAAACCCGGTCCTATCGCTGGCAAGCTCCGGTTCGAAGTACAGAATCGAGGCATCCGGCCGCACGAACGTCTGCAGATGCAGAATGTTGAACCGTCGCTCAACCACCAATACCTCCGGTAGTCCTCCAAGCAATGGCGTTCCGGAAATCTGATGGGCTACCAAGTTGCAGATAAAGCGCCCAGTCTTTTGTAACCGGCATCGCCACTGGGATGTATTGCTCACCTTAGGAAATATTTTGCGCCAGCAGTTAGGACCTTCTGGGTCTACATCCTTATCGACAAGCTTCCAAAGATCCTTGTCTGATTCCAATGCTTTCCACTTCTTCAAGCAGAGCGACTTCCACAAAGGCTCCTCACAGGCAAAGTCATTCCAACGGTGACATACTTCGCGTGCACGAGCAAGGTGCTTACCTTCCAGAAAGCCGAAAATATGTTTTGCCAACTCATCTGGGATGAACTTGAAGCATTCGCTTGGTTTTCGACGACCCGCATAAACTTCCAACTTGTGCTCCTTGTTGGATTCCTGTATGGCCTTCTCGGCTGCATATGAGTTTGACAATACCATTGTTCGTAGATAGTCACGAACAAAACTAGCTGAGCCATGTTGGAGGGACGGCTTGCTCGCAATGTAGTCCAGCAACTGTCGCAGTTGCATGACAAGAGCAGGAACGGAATCTGGAGCCATGATTTCAGGATCGTCCATGTCCTTGCAACTAGAACTTCCTGCATCTGAATCAGCACTAGATCTCATCCTCTTGTATCCACCACCTGGACTACTCGGAGAATCGAGTGTGACGTCACAGAGACGTTGAGCGGTTGACAATTCATCGTCATGGCGGAGGGGATGGACGGGTTGACGCGGGATGCGATGGTTGGGGCGGTTCATTTGAATTTCGCGATCGGGAGCGATCTGAGAAGGTCTTCCAGGCTTGTCAAGATCCATCATGAGGGAGGCGGGCCTCTTCCTAGAATTGAGGCGCGGGGTAAGCGAAAATGAGGCACTTGGCTGGGAGAAGTGCGAGGCGATGGCCTCGGGCGCGGGAGCCGCAAGCGGGGCTAAATCTGATGGAAGGCCGGAAAGACCCTCGGGGCGTGGGCGAATGGCGGTAAAACCAGTCGTAGGGAAAGGGTCGGGGACTGGTGTAGGGAGGGACGACCGGCTCGGATGACGGCGGTTGGATGCGACGGGGGCGAGGGGCAGGTTCGTGAGAGTGGGGTCAGCAGGTGGGTCCGAGTTGGTTTCGTTGCCAGCTTCAGCACGAGCCTCGTTGGTGCGGTCTATAATTGCAGTGGGGTGAGATTCGTGATAGGGATTACCGGCCAACGTCATCAGTACATGACAGGGCTAGGCAACGGATTTGAAAACGAAAGCGTGGGTGGTAAGTGTGTCTGCCTCCAGATGTGTGTAAGAGGGGTGAGAGTGGCGGAAAACCAGCAGGGAGAAGCAAGTGGCGACAACAGAACCAGAAACGGAAACTCGAGAAATGAGGAGGAAGGGCAAAGTGCGGACGGAGGGGTGTGTGGTGGCCGAGTGAGTAGTGATACGGACTCAGGCGTGCAACGAGAGGTGAGAGATACGACGACACGCAAGTAGACAGCGACTGAAGCGAGGCGAAAAAGACGAATCTCAAACGGTCGGTATGGGAGAAAACAAAAGTAGCCGAAAACGGCGACAGATATGAGACTATCTAGCGGATGTGGACGACCGTGCCGAGTGACGATGGGGCAGTGCAGCGCGGGGGATACGGCGGGAAGGGAGGATAGAGGCGGCGTTGGGATAGAGAGGGTTAAAGGGTAGAGGCAGAGAGGCGGGAAGGATTGGAGCGAAACAGTGGTGCGGAAGCTGGAGGGAAGAAGGGGGAAGAAAGGAAGGTAACAAGTGAACACAAATGAGGCGAGCGTGTGCTGCGGTGGAGGTAGGGAGCGAGGGGAGGGTTGGGGGTTTGGGGGGGGGGAGGGTGGGGACGAGGTGGTCGGGGACGGGCAGGGGCGGCGGCGTGGGTCTGTGCGGCAAAATGTGAGAGTCAGAAGTGGGGAGTGGGGGGTGGTGATAATACAGCGGGATGGAAGGAGGGCTGGCCGTTGGGGAGTGTGCGAGGGAGGACGGGTGGCGGGTATGCGTGTGGGGGGGGCACAGTGTGGTTGCGTGCCCTGGCAGTCGTGGAATGCGGCGGCGACCTGTCAACGGGGCGGCAGGGGCGTGTAAAAGCCCGAAAACTCGGCCACGCGCCCGGACAGACTGTCCCCCTCGCGACGCAACGATGGAACAAGCATGGAATTGAATGGAATTGACGCGCTCGTGTTTGATTTTTCAAAAAAGCCCCCCAAACAGCAACTCGAAGTCCATATCGCACGGCTACTGTAAGTCCCGCTCCACCCGCTTGGCTTAGACAGTCGCAAGGCTTGGCCGAGCCTTGCGACAGTTCCCGCCTCAGCGCGCCCACACGCTGCGAAGAGCACGCCTTTTGAGTGGCCTGCAGCCCGTCCCTCGCCCGCCTCCATTGGATGCAAGCCCTACCTTTTTTCTCGCATCGTGTCATCCTTGTTAACCGTCGCGCAGTTTCCTCTCTGGCACACCTCGTCAACCTTCCCGCCACTGAAATCCATCAATTTCATGGCAGTCATCCTCTTTCCCCTCTTTCATCCTCTCGTTCCTCCTCCCGTTCCTTCTTACAGTGCCAGCCGCTGCCCAGATAAGTGTACACGTATACGCAACACGCAACAAACGGAC